ATAACCCCTCCTTACATTGCTTTTGACCATAGTGTAATATTAACACCATGACACATGACACAGCAATATTAACCAAGACAAGATCTCAAAACAGAAAGAATCTGAAGACACCTTGCAGAAAGGAGATCTCATGTTTAATGAAGATACACCCAGGCATCTGGGATAAACATCTGGTCAGGGTCCAGGATGTCTGGGCCCTAAGAAGTTTCCATGAGAGCTACAGGAGACTTCTTGTCACATGCCCCTACCCTTCTCCACCCCTCAGCATACAGATCATTCTACCAGCCACCAGATGGAGTGGCATGTCATTCATTTAGGACCCTGTGTGGTCTCGGGAAGATGAGATGCCTGGCCCTGTCATCCCCTGGTCCTCTCAGAGTCAGCTCTGCAAACAGTTCAGACCACTAGGAACTGAGGCGAGAGAGAACAGGCAAGGAGGGTTGTGAGCGAGCAAGCAGGGTGAGGGGTCGGGAAGGAAGGTCTGCAAGGGAGGAATAACAGAGATGGAAAGGAAATGCCTACAGAGAGAGAAGGCAGGGTAAGGTGAGGCAAAAAAGGTGGCCCTGGACCTCACGGGAATCCAGAAGATAGCTACAGCCCAGTTATCTAGGCTACTGGTTTTGTTTGCTTCTTGGGGTTGCCCGGTTATGGACAGGGGCAGATGCATTCTGCTCTCACAGGTGAGTCAGTGGACTTGTCAGTGCCTTCCAGGTAGCACTGGTACCCTAAAACTTGGATCTGTTTGATAGTTGACTCCAAGCTACTGAGCCAGAGCGTCCATTTCAGTGCAGTGAGGGTGATGACCCTCTCAAGATTCCCAAGACACAAGGGTAGATGAGAAGAGCACTGCTCTCCTTGCCCACAGAGTCTAGCTGAGAACTCTGGAGGCTAGCTAGGACTTCATCAATGCCGCTCTAAAGCTCCCCCTCTAAGGATACCAATTTCTCATGAGATGGTCCCTGGGCACCACATTTACTCTCTTGGCAGTCCATACCTGAGCCCTCTGTTCTGTCAGATAGGTCTGTGGCTTACAGCACCTGATCCAAACTGCCTCAGTGTGAGATGATGGACCACAGGGATATTCTCTGAAAAGTCAAATTTGGGTTATCTAGGAGAGTCTGGCCAGGACTGCAGATGTGGGAGGAGTGGGGTCTCCCCTTAGGTCTACCTCCCTCATAGCTATAGTTTTGCAGTTCTCTAGGGATCATACCACTTACACAAGCCTTAATGCTGCTCCTACTAACCCCCGTGTTCACCCTGATCCTGAGTGAAAGGAGCCCATAAGAAAGAGATGAAAGGAAAGGTATTGGGCAGGAGAAGATAGAAAGCTACTGAAAAGCAGAGCCCTGGGAGAGAGGAAAGAGGCTGCCTCTTTTGGAGATGTCCTCTGAGCCCCCACAGGCTGTGACCAGGTATGCAAGCCTGTATTGGGCAGGGACACCCTGTGTGGGTGTCTGTGGGGGTGAATGCTATGGTTGGTTGTGCAGGTATACAGGAATAGGCTGTATGCTGTACAGATAGGTGACTGTGGGTGGGACAGAAAGCACGAAGGGACATATCCTCCCTGTTGGTCATGTCGTGCATCTTGTTCAAGTGACCATGCTATAGGCTCCAGGAAGCCCTGCTCTGTATGCATTTGAATGTGCTGGAAGCTTCCTCCAGGGACTTGTATTACAGTTTCCCTGCTGTCAAAACCCTCTCTCCCTTTCAGATGAGCAGGTGAGGTAACGTGCTTGGGGCAGAAAAAGCAAAGGAGGAATACTGCTGCCCTTGAGGTTGAGGCTGAGAAAGGAGCCTTATGCCTAGAATAAAGCTCATCCACTGTGTCTGCTCAGAACTACAGGGGACCATTCTCCCACACAGGTAGAAAGCCAGTCCAGCAAAGCACGAGGGACATTTCTCAGGACCCCCAGGTTTCTCCAGCAGCTGGCAGGAATAGAAACCCTCGTGAAATCCTGGAGTCTCTGAAACTCTTCACAGTAGTATTCGGTACACCTCTGACCCCAGGCAGGGGTCACATATTCACACACTGCTCCACTCCACAGTTACTGCTGTATTCTCCTCATTATTCAGACTGCAGCAACAGGCTCAGTTTTTCTCCAGCATGAGATCTTATTCCCGACCTCTCTACCCCATTTAAATAAGCTACCAATGGCACGTGCCACACAATTTCTTAACTTTGGGTATAGTCATTTGAATGAAAATGGCCCCCATATTTGCCTGCTTAGCCTCCAGTTGGGTGAATTGTTTCAGAAGGATTAGGTGTGACTTTGTCAGAGAAAGTGTGTCACTTAGGGTGGGCTTTGAAGTTTCAAAAGCCCATCCCAGGCACAGTCTCTCTGCCTAAATAAGGGAGCAATAAGGACATAAAGCTCTCAGTTACTTGTCCAGCGCTATGCCTGTCTGCATGCTGCCACACCTCCCACCATAGCTAACCCACTAAAACTGTAAATAAGCCCTCAATTAACTGCTAAAGAAAGCAAATAATGAGTTGCCTTGGTTATGGTGTCACTTCACAGCAGTAAAACAGTAACTGTGAATGTAACATGAATTCCTTTGGAAAGATCCACATCCAAACAAGGGAACCTGTTAGGAACGCTGTCTGCCCTCACTTCATCCTATACAAACAAGGCAGGTGTCCTAGTATACTTACCAACATGGCTTTTTCTTTCTACACCAATGCCAACATAGACTTGGTCTGAGACATTTGCAACCCACGCAGTAGATGTTGCATCTCAACAGCCTTTCCAGACTGTCAGCTCTTCCCCAGGGTAATTTTTATTTAAAAGTATATTCTTATTGTGCTGTGTGAACAAGAAATACTAGGGCTAAGCTTCCTCATTAAAATCCAACAAGATCATATGTATTGCTTTTCCCACTGTTCTTTCCTGTAGAGAACTGTTCCCAAGTGTCCAAAACCTGCTAGGCTATAATTCTACCTCAGCTCAGTGAAGTCAGATCTGCATTTGTATCTAAGAACAAAAACTAAAAATAAAAAGACAAATGGAACCATTTCACCCATCTTCTATTTTGAATGTCACCTTTATTTTCTTATAATCTCATGTCTAGATTTAAGGAGCAAGTAGTACCCAACCCCAAATCCTCTCATATTTAAACCCAGGTACTTCCTCAGGCTAACTGTAGTCTCAGAATAAAAATTGGCCCTGATTTAAATTATATATTTTTTCTCTTACTATAGAAAGCACATCTCAGCAATTTTGCAGTTTATTAGATTTATTTGAATAGACAAATTGCACACTTCAAGATGATCAAAATGCTTAATTTCATTATAGGTATTTTAGTTTTTAAAAATGACATTATTTTCATGCATGCAGAGACCAGAGAACAACTGTGTGTCAGTCTGTCCTTCCCCTATGTGGCTCTAAAGATTGAAACTAGGGTCGGGCTTGGCCGTTACCTGCTGAGCCATGTCACCAGCCTTACACACTTTTAAATGAAGACATTTTGGAAAGAACTGCTATATGGAAAAGCACTAATAGTCTGCACTGCCTAATGTTCATCTGTGTTCTTGGAATTGATGGCTTCCATAGTGCTGGGTTTTCATTTTATCCTGCTTCCTACTAAACCAAAGACAACCCCCCAAACTCCCCAGATGTAAGCGGACGTGAGCCAAGTAAATGGGTTTCTGCCTATGTCTGGTCTCTCTCCTGTTTCCAGCACACAAAAAAACCCCTTCTAAAACCTTTTGTTACTCCTAAGGTCTCTTGCAGTCATCTGCTCAAGTGCCTTGTTGCTAGACTCCTTGCTAGCTCCAGGAATAGGCTGGTTGTCAAAGGAGCCAACTATGTGCTAAGAGAGTTGGAACTTTCAGCAACCACTGTTGACTTCTGGAAGGGGAACCTAATCTAACAGCTAAGGCCTTCATCAATCATGGGCACACACTGTCATCTCCATAGAAGCACTTAACAACAAAGCTCCACAGGATGAGGCCCTCCAACTCTGGAGACAAACGCACCTTCACACAGGAACCCTTGTTCCATCTCTTCATCTGGCTGCTCCTGTGACATTCAGGATGTAATTTAGAGTAAACGGTAACTTTAAATTGTCTGTTTATGTTTGGTGAGTTGCCATAGCAAATTACTGAACCCAGAGAGTTCAATATCAAATCAGTAGCCAAAACAGTAATGTAGGACTCATCACTAGTGTCTAAATGGAGGGGGAGAGGAGGGAGACAGTCTTCTCAGACTGAGCCCATTTCACCAGTAGGATGATTATTATGGGTAGGGACTAAACTGATTATAGATTGGAGGACATCCAGTTGGTGTCTGCAAACAACTAGTGTGGAAACCTGAATATTTGGTACTAGAGGTGTTGTAAGTAGGAAAACCTATCCTTTCCTACCCATTACCAGTTGACAACACAGAGAAATAACTGCTGTTTCTCAGCTTCTTGGCAGTTCAAGTAATCTTATTAATGGCTTACATTTTTCTTAAAGGGGGCAAGAGATTTCAAAATGTATAATAAAAATTCCCACATTTTCATGGAGCCCAATATCACAAAACATCAAAACCAAAGCAGATCCCTTTCTTTGGGGCGTAGCCATGTTTGTAGAGTTCAGTCACTACAAAATAGGAACTCTAACATGCTATTTGTTAATATATTCTATGCTTGTATGGCAGGCATCTGTAGCAAATACAGCATCTACAATCAGTGAGGACTGCAGAGTATTGGGGGGGTATGCATTTCATAGACTCAATGTGATGTGCAAAAAAAGTCTTCACTAATTTCCACTCCTTGGGTGCTGAGGCAGGACACTTCTTTAGAACACTTGTGATTTGAAAGCACTGCCTGTTCATGTCACTGTTGAGTTTTAAGTTATCTTTTGTTAAAATCTGAGTACTAGATATTACACTTTATATCACAAATGTTACAAAGGTCTTTCCATTTGTGTGTGTGTGCCTGTGCGTGTCTGTGCTTTACAACTCAAACTGATTTGGAAGTATTTACAAAACACACAGGTTTATTTTTGAGTGGTCATCTGCCAACATTCTCCTTATTGCTTATCTCTACTTTGGATAGGTGCTTTTAAAGGCTTCTTCTAACAATTTTTTAATGTTTACTTTTCCCCCTTTTAAAGAAAGTGTAATGCATTCTTGCTGTCAAAACAAAGCAGAAATAAATTAATTTCTCTCCTCCTTCTTGTATTTGTTTCCTTTGGTCTCCCTCAGTTGAGAATCCTTCATTTTCTTCAGCCCTACAAAATTCCTAAAAAATCTACTTTTCTTGGTGCTGCTGGGAATAGGATGTTTTCTTTCATTATATTTCCTGACTTGTTACTGGTATAAACTAAATCATTTGTTGGGTGGTGGTGAGGCACACCTTTAATACCAGCACTCGGGAGGCAGAAGCTGGTAAATCTCTGAGTTTAAGGCCTGCCTGGTCTACACAGAGAGTTCCAGGACAGCCAGGGGTACACAGAGAAACTCTGTCTTGAAAAACAAAACTTCATTTTAAAAAAAAGCAAGTTATTTTAGATATATCTTTCCAGCTGCTCATCTTGATTAAAAATAAAAGAGAAAAACTGTTTCCAAATGGAGACCGTCATATTCATTTCCAACTATTGGTCTTCCTCCAAGTAATAATTGGTCAGCCATGATCCATTTCTTATTAAACATAGGTTTGGTTTTGGTTTTGGTGGGTTTTTTTGGTTTGTTTTTTTTTTTTTTTTTTTTTTTTTGGTTTGCTGGTTGGTGAGTTTTTTTGTGGTTTGTGTGTGTGTGTGTGTGTGTGTGTGTGTGTGTGTGTGTGTTTTGTTGTTGCTGTTTTTAGTTTTGTTGTTTTTTCTTCACTAGGATTTGTCTTCATTGTGAACATCTTGGTGCTGACTTAGTTGAAAGCTAAACCTGAAAGTTTTCCCACATAATTTACACACATACGGTTTCTTCCAAGTATGGACGGTCTGATGTATAATGCAGTCAGAACTAAGGCTGAAGCCCTTGCCACACTCCATGCATCGGAAAGGCTTTTCCCCAGTATGGCTTCTCTGGTGTCTAATTAAGTGAGCATTGACATGGAAGGCTTTGCCACACTCACTGCACTGAAAGGGTTTCTCTCCAGTATGGATTCTCTGGTGCACAATATAGTCAGAACTACAGCTGAATGCTTTCTCGCATTCCATACACTTGAAAGGTTTCTCCCTGGTATGTATTTGCTGGTGTCTAGTTAACTTGGCATTGATACTGAAAGCTTTCCCACACTCCTTACACTGATATGGCTTCTCTCCAGTATGCGTTCGTTGATGATCAAGCAAGTTTCTTTTAGAAGTAAAGCACTTCCCACATTCATTACATTCAAATGGCTTTTCCCCAGTGTGAGTTCTCCGGTGCTGCATTAGCTTTGCATTAACATTGAAAGCCTTTCCACAGTCACTGCACTTATATGGCTTCTCCCCAGTATGGATTCTCAGATGCTGCCGAAGCTGGGAGTTACACCTAAAAGATTTCCCACATTCACTACATTCGTAAGGTCTCTCCCCTGTGTGGATTCTCTGGTGCTGGATTAACTTCCCTTTGGTACTAAAAGTCTTTCCACAGTCACTACATGCATAGGGTTTTTCACCTGTGTGCACTCTCCGATGTTGAATGAGCTTTGCATTTTTAGTGAAGCCTTTCCCACACTCACTGCAGCGATGCGGCTTCTCTCCAGTGTGTATACTCTGATGCTGCCTGAGCTGGGTGCTACACCTGAAGCCCTTTCCACACACATCACACTCATAAGGCTTCTCTCCAGTGTGAATTCTTTGATGCTGAATCAGTTTTGCATTAACATTGAAGGCTTTCCCACAGTCACTACACTCATACGGTTTCTCCCCAGTGTGTATTCTCTGATGAGTAATGTATGCAGAACTACAGCCGAAGGCAGTCCCACACTCCTTGCACTGATAGGGCTTCTCTCCTGTGTGTATCCTCTGGTGTCGAACGAGACTTCCATTAACATTGAAGGCTTTGCCACATACCTTACACTGGTAAGGTTTCTCTCCACTGTGGATTGTCTGATGTGTGATATAGTGTGAACTGTAGCTGAAGCATTTCCCACACTCCACACATTTGAAAGGTTTCTCTCCATTATGAAGTCTTTGATGCCAAACAAACATGGTTTTAACACTGAAGGCTTTGCCACATTCTGTACACTGATAGGGCTTTTCCACATCACAGATTTCTGGAAGCTGATTAACTTGAAAGCTACCTTGTGTAGCCTCTACTAATTCTTTGTGTTTCCAAGGTCTTTCCTCTGTAGCAATTCTTTCATTCTTAGTAAGTTTGGTATCAGAGTACTGCTCTCCAGTGGAGCTGGTATGATCCTGGAACAAGTGTGAAGTCTGACTAAATAAACCCCCTTCCATGACGCTCGTCTTAGCTCTTCTGTCAATGGCATGGACCCTTTCCCTTTCACTTCCTGCTGACTGGAGTTCCTGGTTTTGGCCAACAATGTAAGTTTTTGAAAAGTATGTTTCCTGAGAAAAGTCCTTCTGAAGTTGAAATAATATATTCTTTTTTTCTTCATACACTTCTTTTGTCAAATTATTGCCAGTCTGGGTAGCAGTACATTCTACCAAAAGAAATAGAAAATAATAAAATATGTCATATAACTATGTTGGAAGAAAATATAATAATTAGAAAGCTTTTCATTATGTATAGGGTCTCAGTATGTTGCCTAGGCTGGTTTGAACTACTGATCCTCCTGTACCTACTTCATAAGGCCTAGCATCACGTGTGTATATCCACATGCCCTGCTCTAAAAGCTCTTTACAAATCACTAGATTAGGTCAAATAACCTAAGGTTCCTCCATAGAGTGTAACTGTCATTGGTAAAGGAAGGAAAAAGATCCAGATATGTAGTCCATGAGAAGGTGCCCAAGATATACCTTAAAGTAAAAAATTAAGAAATAGAAAACAAAGCAGATTCCAACTGTGAAGAATGAGAAGAGTGGACAAGAACATGTATCTCTGGGTCAGAAAACTTCTGAAGAAGTACAGCTCTGTGAGATCATCTCACCCGAGTGACCCCCCACTCCTGCTCTCACAGAGCAAGGGCACTGCAAAGGGAACAGTGGTAACAACGGTTAAAGAAGGTGGCAGTGGTGAAGAACTCTGTCTTGTCCATCAGATCAGAGTGTCCCATCACCTCGAGCTTTCCTACACTCTACAGTTCCTTCTTGGTTGTCCCTATGGATCAAGCTCCTTATAAAAGCAGGAAGTGATGAACAAAGGCAAGGCAGAGGACCTAAGGACGTGCTACAAAACTGGGTCTGACAGGCAGCAGCAGAGGAAGCAGCAGAACTGGGTTTTGTTTCCCTAGAACTTCACTCGAGCCTTCCTGAAGAGCTCTGCTAAGGCCTGACCACACCTCTTCCCATCTCTTCTAAAATACTGCTGTACAAAATTTCTTCCCATCGATCCTAAAAACCGATCATCTCTGAGCACTTTTATAGCAGTAATTTTATAGCCTTGACCGCTCCACTTCTCAAATCCCTCCCCCAAAAGGCTTCCTTTATTTTTTCATCTCTCACTTCCCCCCAACCACATAAAATATGCCCTTCCATCTCCTGTAACCAGACAAGGCTTCCAGCAGTGGGACTGGGACACCAACCCAGCCACAAAATCTTCGACCCACACCTGTCCTGCCTGTAAGATCTACTGGGGCAATGGTGGCTCAGCGCTTGTGGATGGCTCAGAGACCTAGAACCAAATATGACAGGCAAAAAAAAAAAAAAAAAAAAAAAGCCAATGAAGTAATTTCTAATACTATTCTGTTATACTCATGGGTGGTGCCTAGCTCCATTGTCATCAGAGAGGCTTCCTCTGGCAGATGCAGAGACCCATAGCCAAACATTAGGCAGAGCTTAGGGGGAACCCTACAGAAGAGGGAAGATGATTATAGGAGGCAGAGGGGTTGAGGACACCAGGAGAACACAGCACACAGAATCAACTAAGCAGGGCTCCTATGGGCTCAGAGACTAAAGTGGCAATCACAGAGCCTGCATTGGTCTGGGTCTGCACTGGGTTCTCTGCATACATGCTGGGGTTGCTTAGCTTGGGGTTTTTTATGGGACTCCTAACAGTGGGAACAGGGGTATCTCTGACTCTTTTGCTTGCTCTTGGGACCCTTTCCTCCTACTAGGTGCTTCATGTGAGGGTTTGTGCTTACTACTCTTAGTGTATCTTACTATGCCATGTTCGCTGCTTGCTAGCAAATCTTATTTTCCAGCTTCTCTTTCTTAAAGGATGTAAGGTCAGCAAGTCAGACTTCAGAGAGATCACTGGCTGAGTTATGAAAAAGGCCTTTGGTTCTGTGCTCTATGGCTTCGCTGCTACCACAGTCCTCATGCGCCCACCTTCTCCCTTTGCCCACCCAGAGCCTGTCTCACTTTTTGCCAACAAATGAGATTAACTGTGGCATACATAATGAGACTTGAACACTTTTGATTAAGGACCACTCAGTATGAATGTATATGCGGACACTTGGCTGAGCCCAAGACCTACTGACAGTCTGTGTACCTCTAAGAATCCCAAGTAGTCATGTACCCATCATTGAATGTACATAACATTCAAGATGCATGGAATAGGGGCATGTTTATTTATACTCTCAATGTATAGATAGTTATAATCTAACTAAGCTAGACCCTTGATGTAAGTTATCTCAGCTGGCCTTGAGCCCACGGAGTGGCACCATTGCCTTACTTCATTACTACAGCTTCAGAGATGAGTTCACTAGACCCTAGAGACCTCAAATAACTGACCTGCTCAGTCGTGTGACTAGAAAGAAACAGTTTCCTCACAGACACAGATGGTATTATATCATAGCAAAGCCTGTAGCTTTAGCTATTTCTGCTTCTGTGTAAAAAGGTTATTAGGGCTATATCGTCCACTTTTAGTGGCAACGCTCAAAATTGCTAAGAACTTCCACCCCCAAATCACGAAATCCATAGTCTTGTTTGAAAATCATGTGGTTAGAGACAGAATCCGGCATCTGGGAAAATGCATTGCCATAATGCAGAAATGTGTTACACACTTATGTTGTTGGGCAGTGTGTGCCTCTCTTACCAGTCCAGAGGCCCTGGAAGTCAGTTCCAGTGGCCAGCTGAGACAGGTTTTCCAGATCCTTTCCTTCCTCTAGCTGTAAGATCACAGCAGGTTTGAGAAGTGGACATCCTGATTTGGGAAAAGGAAACAGAAGAGAATGAAAACTCTCCCACACGTACATTCCTAACTTCTCCTGAGACTGCCTCAGCCACGGGAGAAGAAGGTAAGATCCTCAGAAAGAAGGCAGATAGGGATAAGAAGAGTCAGAATGGAAGCCAGGGACCATATGCAGAGAAAGTCAGGAGAGTCTGCCCAAAGGGATACCCCTTCTTGATCTTAGCCTGAAATATCCAGAGTTCATTAAAATTCTTAAAAAGACTCAAGATATGTAAGGTGAGGGGCAATCTGAAGGCACCTCTGTAGAACAGCAAGTTTCTACTTTTCAAACCATGTCAATATACAGCTTCTCTAGGGTTGTTCAGAAGCATGTCTAAGTCTTAGCAAAGTTCTGTGTTTGCCCCAAACAGCTTGCTCTTCCAGCAATCTACATATAAGGAGATTAGAAAAAGCCCACTCATAAAGGATTACCAAACCCCTCCTGCCACCTCTTAGTAAGAAAGGAGCTAAGAAACTCAAAATGGCAGAGTCTGAGTCTCAGGGAGAGAAGCCTTACCCACAGAGGCCAAGTTCCTGTAATTCTCCAGCATGACATCCCTGTACAATGCTCTCTGTTCAGGGGACAGACCATCCCATTCCGTCTGGGTGAAGTACACGGCCACATCCTCAAAGGTCACCGACTTCTGAAATAATAGGTTCTTGCTGCCCTAGGGCCAATGCTATGGCTCAGGCCCTAAGTCAGGGGCAGAGGGCAAAGTAAGGGCTTGGGAAGGGGGCTTGTGAAGAGCACAAAGTTAGGAACAATAAAAGATGGAGAAAAAAAAGACAATGGGAAAGTCAACTATGGAATAGCCTCCTTTTCTTACAGCAGAGAAACTGTATGTCATTTTCACACTGGGCTGAAAAAAAAAGAATTCCCATGAGCAAATTCAACTGCACAATTCTGCCCTCAAACAGGCTGCTCCTTCACTGGCACGCTGCTCGAAGCACCTGCCATTCCCACTGCATGCCTGCCAGGTATTAGTTCCTCTATGGTTTACCTCAGCCCCCAGTTCCACTGCCCCCATCCTCATACGGTAAAACACATGTCCATCATCCTTCCCAAGGGTAGCCTGGCTTCTAACCCATCTGCCACCTGACTGCCCACACAGATCCCCAACCAAGGACTTGCAGGTCTGCTGTCTTTCCCTTGTTGTTCCCACTTTATGACATGGCCCCATCCCTGCTAGTCAGAGGCAGAGCTTCCTTCTTACTGGACTGCAGTTCTTCATGTTTTCTCACCCCAGCTATCAATTACCCTAAACCTCTGCAACTCCTCCAAGTACCACATGGGTGGTTTCCGTGGCAACATTCTTTCCAGAATCCCTCTGCCAGTGTGCTCAACTGCAGTGTCATACAGATCCTTGTGTGATTCCGTCTGCTGAGTTCACTCTCCTGCCACCTTCACTGGCCAGCCCGAGTCTCTGCCACCTGCCTCTCCACCTTTCTCGAGATCCGGCCAGCAGGTAGAAGTGCTTTTCCCTCCAAGTCTCGCCAGCTCTCAGTTCTCAGTCTGAACTGCCCAGACGAAGGGATGAGGGACCCACAGCTCACCTGGGGCCAAACCGATGGGATCATGGTTGTCATCACCTGGTCTCCCTCTCAAGGAAGGACTGGAGCTGAGGAGAGACAGAGGGTGTGGGTGGGGTGTAAGGCGAGCCACCCAAATCATGAGCACAGTTAAGATCTGAGGCACAGGTAGCTGGTTTCCAGACAGGAACAGAAGCTGCCAGAGAAGACGGAGTGACCCCCTCACTGGTTCAAGTATCAGGTATTCTTCCCAGGATGGACACTGATGCTCTGAAGTTGGCTGCCAAGAAGCCCGTGATTTGGCAGTTCTTACAAGAATCATATAAAAGTATTTATAAAACTTAGGCAGAGCCTAAAAAATAACAGACCAGGAATAATAGATTCAGTTCAAGAAATAATATTATCGAACCTAACTCATTTTTCTGTCTGCAACTAAGCATCATTTGCAATTACACTGTAAGAAGGGCTGGCTAAGTGGCAGCCTCACCATGGGACCTGGGAGTCAGGCTGCAGGAAGACACCACAAAGATAGGGACAGCTGTTCCTCTACTTCCTGCAGTTCTCTCATTCTTGGTGTCAAGAATCCTCAGGCTTACCAGGAGTGATGGCACATACCCATAATCCCAGTACTTGGGAGCTGAGGCAGGAGGATCAGAGTTTGAGGCTAGCCTGGGCTGCAAAAGACCCTGCCTCAGAACAACAGAAGGATCTTGATGAGTCCAGGGCATAGTAATGCATCCTTGTGAGCCCAGCACTTGGGAAGCCAAGGCAAAAAGCTCTTGAATTCAAAGTTCAAGGCTACCTTGAACCACACAGGAATCCTGTCTCAACAGACCATGGAGGGAGGGGGGTGTGATGTGTACAAACAAATGAACCCTAAGGCTTTTGTTCAGGTCTCTTCCATGGCCTAAGCTAACCTTGAGAAAGCTGGGCTAAAAGTGCGTGAGGTGCCTTTCAGTTCTCAATCTAACCTGTCCACTTTGGATGACAGACATTTCTGCAGTTCTCCTAAGCAGAGACCAGCTTTACAAAGCTGTAACCAACCTTCACAAGGACTTATACCATACAGACTTCATTCCTGCTGTCCGGCTTCTCCCATATTCTGAGTGGGATGCCTGCTGCGGCAGACTGCAGGCAAATAAACATCTGTGAGGCCACCCTTGACCATCAGGGGGCAGAATTTGATAGGTAAGTGCTTTTCCCATTAGCCCTAGAAGGCCATCTTTGAGATTCCAAGGCTCCTCAGAGACCCTGCAAGACAGAACCTGTTGAGGGTCAAACCTGGTAAGGCAATCTTGTAAGTAATTTATTAAAGCAAACTAAATTGGCCTAAGAAAGCCTCCCTACTCATATACCAGAGTCCGAACCTATAGAGAATTGCAACCTAACTCAGTGTAGAAATAAATTCAAAATCTAACTTCAGAACTGAGTCTCAAACAATCATCGTGGCTAGGCCGATTAAACTAGGATCAAATAAGGCAAGCACCGGGCACAAACCAAGTGAGATAGCTCTTCAGTAAGGTACAGGCCTTTCCTGTCTAAAATATCAAGCCCCATGGCATCACGGGCCTCACAAGTTGTTGTGGTGTCAAATCACTCTTTGCTCAACTGGACTGTTATATCTAATTTGTCTATATTTTTTTCATTTTGCTATCTTTATCCAGACGACTACATTCATAGTTAAATTCCCACAAACAAACAAACAAACAAACCAAAACCCTTTGCCCTATGTTCTATATCTGGAAAAACCTAGACTACAGAAGAATTTTTACATTTTTCTACCTCTTCAAGTTGCAGGAGTTTTTTCAGTTATTTTCATTATGTCTTATTCAGCAATTAAAAACTATCAGGCCACAAATTTCTCTCTGGCTCAGAATTAACCCTTGACCAAGAATGCTCACGGGTTCTCATGTTCCACATTTTAATTTCTACTTTAGAGCTCAGTAACTCTGACTTGTCTGTGACATAATAGCTGTTTAAAATATATTGGTGCTGTTCCGGCTTTCCTGCTAATAAAGCGCGTGTTTAAATGCCCTGATCTATTATTCTTTACAGATCTTTTTTAAAAGTTTTGGTTTTTGTTTGTTTGTCTGTGTGGTATTAATGCCTATCTTTTCTTAAAATATCCTCTGGTATTTAAAAAAAAAAAACTTAATTCTACAATGAAGAATATGTACTTCAATTTGAAGACAGTAAGTCAACTTATGGTCCACCTCAATGGCAAAGGTGTTTGAAAAATTCAATATTTTTAAATATTTTTAAAATTCAATATTTTTAAATATTTTTATTTTTAAATAATTTTAAAATTTTTCAAATTTTTAAAATGTCTACCAAGAGGGTGCCCAGGATGGGGTGTGTGTGAAATGAATCAAATGCATTCTGCATTTATATGAAATTCTCAGAGAATAAAAAAAAAACTTGAAAAATGTATTCCTGTGGATATTCTCATGTATAGGAGACATGCACAAAACATTCACCATTGGCACTACTTTTAATACATAACCAGCCTAAAAACAACCTACATATCCACTGAAAATACAAGCTTCTATATGGTTTTTATAGCTGTATATTACCCAGCTGGCATATACGCTACTTAGAAATTAACCAAGTATACTAAGATGCTCAAAAACAACAAAAAAGGTTAAACTGTTTACATATCGGTCCATATGGATACACTTTTAAAAACAGGCTGTAATTAACACAAAATTCAAAATAGTTGTTACCTCTGAAAGTGAGAGAGTCTGAGACACAGATGAAGAACAAATATACTGATGGATGTGGCAGTAAGGACTAGATTCTTTCCTCACTGGAAAGAATTCTTTCCTCATGGGTAAGCATGTGTTACTTTTCTTTTCTTTAAAAACTCTTTCTCGTTGTCTGTCTCTGTCCCTTGGAAAAGTAGTGTTTTGACTACAGTAAGGCTATAACCAAAGAGACCTATATCCATCCAAATGTCGTCCTGTCTTCTACGGGGCATGAAATAGCAATTCTGAAACTATTCTGTGTGTACTCTTACTATGTCGTAATCATGTGTGCATGTGTGGGGTCTGACGTCGATGCATCAGACCAGGCCTCAAGCCGGCAGTCCCCAGTGACTGAGAAGTGGCCCTACTTTTCCTGCGGTGGGCCGCGCCCCTCACCCTGTCTGGAGCCCGGGACAAGCTGTACACACCTGAAGCACCTGCAGGGCCGCAGCGCGTCAAAAGACTTGCGATGTCACCTCGAGCCACTTCAGCCCCGCAGGCAGTCACCCTCTGTGAAGTGACACGGCCTCCCCGATACGCCACCTGCTAAGCTCTCTGGGCCTGACGGTGGTCGCCACTCACACGTCACCGCTTTGGGCACCGAGACGTGGTGGGTCGCGAGACTGGCTGCGGGTGACCCTGCGTGCTGACCGCCAGGACACCGCGAACCACAACGAGTCTGCACTCACCTGCGCAGCACGGTCCGCGGCGCGACCGGAAGTGCGTCACCGGCCCGACCCCGCCCCTCTAGGAGTGTTGCTCTCCCTCTCCGGGTGCCCCGCCCGGAGTCTGCGGTTCCCCTCTGTCCCCTAGGGCTCAATCCCTTTGTCGTAGGCGGTGGGATCTGACGCCCTAGGACCCTTACTCCTGGGGACCTTGATAGGCCCACCCGAGAAAGGCCACCCGAGCTTGTGTCTTGGTAAAGCTGCAGGTGCCAGCAGGTGGACTGTGCCAGTGCATCACAGGCTGGAGGACCCAGGGTCCACTTTAAAAATAAATGTTACGTAATGTCATCCAGGCCTGCTGGGCCTTGATTGCAGCTGTTCTGGAAACTGAGGCTGGAGATGGAGTTTAGTGATACACTGCTTGTCTGGCACTCTGGATTCAAAAACCAGGGCAAATAATAATAATAACCACCCGTCCTTACCATGAAATTCATAACTACCTGCTGTTGACACAAGAAAGCAATCCTTACCTTAAAAGGAAAAGGAGATAGTTTCTTCTCAAACCAAACTTGAGTGATCATAGCGCAGGAGCACAGATTTAGGTTACCCCAAATATAACACGTTCCAACGCAGAAGCAGTTTTAATAGTTTTTTCAAAAAAAAAAGTCCTAAATCAAAGTTTAAGATACATTGGCTGGGCACATCAGAGAGGTGGTTACAGAAAGATAGGGGACACTTTTCTATAGGTCAGATGGATGCTATATGGTAACTTTCTTGGCTTTTGTGTTGGTGGAAGTTGATGGCCTGTCACAAGATCCCATCAGGTGTTTACTACTATAGGATGTTAGTTCTTACAGAAAAATGAGATAGGAATGGTTATTCAGAGTGGTAATGCTAGCCAAAAATATGATAATTAGCCTCTGCAGCTGTAGCATTCCAATGTCTCAGCACCACTATAGTTCTGATAAGTCAGTCTTTGTAGACACAGCTTTTGTTCAGTAATTGAAAGTTGGCACTGCCTAAAGACCCACAAATAATACCATACATCATAAAGGATATATGAAAATGATTTATAGTGACATTACTTTGATCTAATGGCATACAGACTTGCCATGCAATTCGGAAGTCACAGCCTCAGAGCTGCTGTCTTTCGCTGGTGTTTCCACAAATCACAAAAGCGTGATCTAAAATGTTGAATGCTCTTTTGACAGAGTTCTGAGTGAAACATGGGATGATTTTTTTTCTTTTTATGATGCTGTAGTTAGATTCTTAAAATTACTACATGTTAAAACGTGTGAACATATGTTGTGGAAGTCCTAGATTCAGGTCAAGGTTTTTGCATACATGAATGACCAGCCACGTACTAGCAAGTCTTCCTCCAAGTCTTGGTTAAGACTGTCCTACATTGCAGGCTTTGTGGCACTTCTGACTTTCATCCACAATGCTACCCATCACCATCAAATGTAAAAAATTACCCCACATAAAGTCCTAGAATGAACCCTGGGGGGAGGGTAGACAGTACTAAAATTTAAAAATTCTTCTACCTGAAGATGCTCACAGAAGCCCACCCCACACTGAGGAGCTATTGGGAACTGATGGCTGCGGAGGGGATGATCTTCAGGGAATGAGATGGCGGGAAGAGGAGTCTATTTTCTTCAGGAAATGGTATGTGGTCCCTGA